AAATCGATTAAATTAAATATTTAATTGTGTTTTGTACAATTTCTAACTACCTACATAGCAGTTTTTACACACAAAGTTTACACACAGCTAGTGATAGATGAATTGTTGTAAATTATAGCTGTGAGTATATTTGAGGCGTTTTCGCCAATTTAAATGTCATAATATATTATGTTATGTTTAACGATTTCTTAATACGAATTTTCACTTTGAATATATACATAAAACAATTAAGTAAAATATAGTTAGTACATTAATATCTCAATGCTTAAAACTTACAAACTTCAATTTAAACGCAAATTTAACACTATATGGGTAGGTATAGACTGAAATCTTTTCTGAATTCAAATGTCGAATTTTTAAGTGTCTCAAGTCATCCGTTAACTATATTTAAGATGTACATTTGTAGCTAATCACGTAATTAATTAATTGATTACATTTCAACTTACAGCTCTTGTCTTTGAAAATGTATCATTATTCCCAAGCTTTATTATCACTTTACATTCTCGTTTTCGGTTCTCGAATGCGGTAATAAACTTTTCTTTCTTTTTCATATAACTTCGCTGTTCCATAGCTATGCTAGGTTCGATAGTTGGAGCTGTAGTGAAGTAAATAACAAATTCTATATTTATGGACAAAATGACTCACTCATACGCACTATAACTCGTACATTGTATATGCGTATCGGTTTAGTGGTTAAAAATCTTATAATCTGGACCTGATAGGTGGAGCAGTTGTAGAGTTATTGATACATTTTATCAAATTCATCGCACCACCTACTGGAAAGGGTAAGACGTCTGTCTAATTAGCTAGTATTTTATAAGTTTCCTTAATCATCATTATCTTCATCATTACAGCCATCAAAAATTCACTGCTGAACATAGGCCTCCCCGAAGGAATGCTTCAAAACACGATCCTATGCCACCTGCATCCATTGACTTCCTGCCTCTCTTACCAGTGACTAAGACCACTTTATCTAGTTGGGAGCTTAAGGTTAACTGATTTACCATAAACACAAAAATTTGAATTTGCTTAAAATTGCATTTACAAATCTTGTCCTTAATTTGTTATTGGCATCAGATTTTTAAAGTATGTAATCATCACGTACATAATATATCACACATCTAACAAAATCAAAGAAGGTTCTCAAAGTTAAGTTAAGTATGTATTTTTGTATAAATAACAAATTTTGTAAAAAACAAATATAGGTAAGTTTAACATTTATGAGGTAGTTTATGTTATTTTTTTATAGCCGATTTGGTTCAATACTGTATTTAATAACAAGGTAAGTATGCAATTCAGATATTATTATTCTGATAAGTTTTCGATATCATTCAACTTTTTCTGAGTGCTGGTCTTTGCTAAATCTTTCCCGTTCAGTCGTATTGTAGTTATTGAGTTTGTGTATACTTTCGTAATTATGGTAACAGTAAGTTTTCTTGAGCCCCGGTGGCTTCTATATGGAAGGTAAACTGCTAGTTCATGTCCCACCTTTTTTTTTAATAAAAAGCAAAGCTTTTCATGAATAAGTCTTAACCAATTACATAATATTTGGTACCTATATCATTTCACGAATTTAGATAATAATATAACACATATTAAAATCCTTTTCTTTGATTTGATTTTTCTTTATAACTTTCTTGACTAATTAATGTTCTTTGAAACGTATTCCTTCTGTTTATCCATGTCCTCCTTTAGATTTTTAAAGCATTTTCCGTTTTGAATTCAGAGAAGTTTTCTGACCGTACATTAATTACTTTTGGACAGAAGTTTTCAATATAACTATGCGTGCAAACATATGCGAAAGTAATAATCTTTATGGTTATAAAAACATCAATTTTATAAAAAAAAAACTGATGCATATTATAGTTACACATACAAAATACAAAGCATAGCGACAGGGAGAATGTAAATATAATACTAACATTGATGTTTTAACTTTTCTTTAACTTCATAAGGAATATGAAATTCCTAGTTTAAAAAATAAAGCTGTAATATGCATTATTTTTATTTAAAATATCGGCATAAATGTTTATCTAAAACATAAAAAATAAATAAGAAATATATCTTTAATTATTTATAACAAAGGATTTCTTTGAGATATGGTATAAATTGATAAGCCTTAACTATGACTAAGAAGTATTCAAGTAGGAATTTGATTTTAAAGGTAAACTTTTAAACAAAGAAAGATCATCTAAAAATACTCTATAGGTACACTTTTTTCAGTTTTGATGAGTGTGACAAAAAAGGTCATAGGACGCGTGAGTTTGTTACAGATAATATGCGTGGTGATAAATATACGTACCTATTTAAATTATATTATTAAAATATAGACACAAGTATTCAAAATCATGGTATTTGTTGTTTTAACATTTGAATAACACTAAATTCTAATAAAAAGATTTCGCCGGACCCATTATAGATGTCGGTGTAGGCTGGAATCTGCAACATTTTTAAATAAGTTATCACTCTGAAGTAAAAAAAATAAAATTGCAATAATAAATTTGCGTAATTGCGACAATAGTCAACTATACTGTTAAATTTTTTTATTATTAACTCCCATAGTATGAACCTCTCCTATAGTAGGAAGAAATTTGCCTAAATATTCCGTTTGACAGACTGATTGGCCTAACGTCTCACAACTTTCATTTGTTGTTTGTCTGAAGTGGTCAACTGTGCAGAAACAATAATCTACTCGTATAGGACAGTATACGCCCACCCCAAGAACACTCACTCGTCACACAGCATCCCCATATAATTCCTTAATATCGATTAAGTGGTGATTTTTTAAACTTAGACCTCCTTCCTCAACACGTGAGATTTACTACGTTGAATGAGTCTTACCATTAATTTTGAATTAATTAAATTAATTTGATATGTTTATGTGTTTGCTTCATTCTGTAAGGTAAGAAGAGAAAAATGATAGGTGCTACGTTTGATGCACCATAACGGATTAAATTAAACTTAGTGAAATAAAAAAAGGCTACGACTGCGGATACGATAAAATTTAGTATTGTCTATGCCCGGGATTGATTTTTTTTATTACAAAATGTTATCAGGTCTGATGAAATTGCCGTTTTGTATGGAATAAGTGATTTAAAAAAACACTAATTAGTAATAAAATAGAGTCGTTTCTTATTGCTTCTTCGTAATGAAAATTTTTGCCTTTCAAAAAGTTATCTAAAAGAGGGAAGTCTGTTAGCGAAACGTCTGGAAAATATGGTGGATTACTTTTAACATCTAACTATGCCACCTTTTGTTGTGCAGTATGTGGCTGAACGTTGTTATGAGGAAGCAATGGCGATTAGCAATTCACCAACCAGGGTTGTTGTTTGAGTGCTAACTTCTCTACCATCACTTACAGTTCGTTACAATAATAAATAACTTTGGTACCAGATGTCAAGAAAATATAACGAATAACACCAACACTAGACCACTAAATTGCCACAATGAGCTTCTTTTGGCCCATCTTTCATTTGGACACTGTTTTGCTCGAGCACCTTGATCTAACCACTGTGATAAACGCTTGCGATTATGCACTTCTCATCGCAGGTAATAATTCAACTCCAAATTCCCTCCCTTTTATGCCGATTGGGGTAGTTACCCATTTGTCACGTTACTTTATTTTACTGATTGATCGCAAATGATCTAATATTGTTTAGACAGTTAAATCAAAAGCCGACGCTAGCTCAGGTAGTTTAAGACAGTACCGCTTCCAAAACCGCTTTTCGTTCGTCATCAACACAATCTTCTCTGGGCACCCACAAGGTTCATTTGTGAGATCAAAATTTCCCGAACAAAAGCGATTGAACCAATATTGCACAGCTCGGTGGTTAGTAGCGATAAGTGCGTGTACGTTTAATTGATATTGTGTGCCGTTTGTTTGAGACGCATTTTGAGTATCTACGGCGAAACTCATACTCAAAAATGACACGAATTTAGAAAAAAAGAATCCCAAAGAAACAGCATAACTGATTTAAAAAAAGGAATACTTAAAATAAAACATTTATTTTAATTTTTATTAGAATTGAAGTCAAATTATAACTTTTACGGAACTTGCCACTTTGAAAAGTGGCAAGTTCAACAAAATGGCAATTTCGTAGGTATTTTATCAGACCTATTTTAAGCTCACGTAGTTAATGGTCTAATGTTAAAAAGATTTAATTCAAATATTGAATTGTATAAGGAGTAATTCACGATAGTTTGTGTTTACGGTCCATACCCTCAACTCTCTTTAGTGGATAATACCGGAAAAGAGATTTACAAGTAACGATAAGTGCCTCGTTAGGCAGTCAATCTTAGTCCTCGGGAATTGTCTATTGGTCACAGAATCCACTAGGTGGTCTGTTATCTTCCTGGGAGTTCGTCTCGATAAGTATCATCCTCTTATTATATTCTGTTTCTGCCGTCAAGCAGTGCATTTACTGCTCTGTTTCGGTGGTCTACAGGTTGAGAAGCATTCCATCTAAATCATCAGAGATGAAAACCAATCTGTAACAGTAAGTTCGATTGTTACTTAAATTTTTATAAAAAGGGCACTATAGCATACACTACTACATTTATATTTACTACGTGGTAGAGCCACGCTGCAGCTATATTATGGTTGTAGCACGAATGAATCGACTCGTCCGGGGAAGGACCATGCTCTTACAGAATACCAGCGTAAAATAGCAGGTTGGTAATGCTGTGTTTCGTATGGTGAGTGTGTGACTCTTTTTTACTGGAAACGAGGCATTTCATCTTAGTCCTCAGGGGTGACAACACATCTGCGTTTTGATTCTTAATCAGGGATAAAATGTAGATGTCTATGGGTCACAGCATCCACTTACCACCAGTCTGTCTGCTCGTTTGTCATCCTTATTCTATAAAAAGCTACTCCCTTTTCCTTATTATGTTCGTTTTAGTCAGGATTTTTCTTTTATTTTTAATATTATAATTGTTACATTTATCTAACAAATAATAAAAATAATATTAGTACATACGCGGCAACAGTCCTTGGGTGTTTACAGACCTAGAAAACATTAAAAAAATTAATTTTGACGCATTTATTATTAAAATACGTACTGATGTTACAGTTGATATGTATTTTTTTATATGTGTGGTTCTCAATAATTAATTTTATGAGTTTTTCAATTTGAAAAAGGATTTTCACATTGTGATTCAAATCACGATTGTATAATATATTTTATAATAATGTATCAATTACTTTCAATGGAAAAAGGAACTTAACAATGTTAAGGAATGAAAAATAATATTTATATTGTAAATATTACAATTCAAAATATATCAAATTTTATCTCTTGTTGTTCTTTTGCCAGGATATATTATGACAGAATGCATCAAAATCTTCAAAGACTGCGAAAGTAACTTTGTAGTCAACGAAGCAAAACTAAACCGGGTTAAGCATCGCATTCTTGGAACAAAGAAGATCATTTTGATGTTATTAAGCAATTTATAAGTTCTAAGTTATGAATCTTACTATAGGCTATAGGTTAGTTTATATTCGACTTAATAATAATATATAGTAACGTTAAATATGTAAGTATAGAGCAATTTTCGACACAAGAAAACAGCGCTGCGAAATTAAGCTTCAGTTCTATAAGTTAACTATTCAAGTAAAAAACGTGAAGTCACTAATGAATAAACACGAAAATTATACATTTTATTTGTTATAAGTTGCTTCATATCTTTAAAGTTGTGTGCCATCACGAGTTTTGTATATAGAAACCTAATAGTCAACTTATAGGAGCAGATATAAGACTTGAAAACGACTTTAATAGACACAGTTACGAATACATACGAAGTGAAATAAGAACAGACAAAGCTAACACTTACAACGACATTACACTGTATGCCCACTTACCAAGAAAGGCTTATTAGTACCAACATAGTAAATATAAAAATAACAACATACTGCATATAACTAGTCTTTAATGTTATAACAATTAACTTCTAAATTAAACTTCGATTACCGAAACTTGTTCACACAAAGTTGGCTGAAAATATGGAAAAAATTATTATATGATTAGTCTAAAACATAATTATTTAAAGAAAAACATAAGAGCGACATTCTCTAGATGAGAGCGAGAGAACGTTTTTACTTAAAGCAACTTACCGATGATAAGAGCCAAAATGATGATTCCAATTACAGCAGCGATAATCATCATCTGAAATTTAATTAAATTAAAAGTTACAATTAATTATTATATTGTATTTTTAGGTTGTAACGAAGAATGTGTCACTTTTTCTTTCAAAAGATTTGTATTTATGTTTTCATCGATCGGCGAGATTTGAGATTCTGGTGTTCGATTGAAAGTGGAAAATTTACCCAACAAACCTGAACTTGCTGGCTTTTGATTGAGACCAGCATTACCAGGGTCAGGGTATCGGTTCTCCAATTCGCCCAGCGTTTTGGGTATGAGTATATATTTTAAGTATGACAGTAAACGGGCTCTTGGGAAGGAATCTCTGGTAGTAGACTTAGAAAGGCTTTTGATGTAACTAGAGTTTTCCAAAAAAAAAAAATGATGGCAAAGGTTTACCTTTAAATTTTGCAACCAGAATTTGCTTTTCAGTTTTCCAGCTTGCTGTTCGAACTGTGAAGCGCCCTGCTGAAGTGCGTCTGTAACATGCAGATAAAAAGATAAATTCATATAAAATATTTGGAAGATCGACGCACGAACGAAGTGCACGCCTCAAACGTTTATTATGTTAAAAAATAAAATTAAAAGAGATGAAAATAGTAACGATATTTTTTTTACAAGAAAAAAAAAACAAAGAACCCGAACGACTTTCATTAATAACTTTTAAACGGTGTTGAGTACAATAACACAAATCAATAGGAATCCTCCTTAGAATGTATGAAATCTTATTTAATACTCTATATCTCAATCTATAGCGTGAAGACTTACCGACGCACAGACCAACGGACGGCAGTTCATATATTTTTTCTCTTACAGTTTTTGTTATAATATAATCTAAAGTGAAACAATTATAAAATAAACTATAGTTGTAGTTGTAGTGTAGTTATTGTAACGTTAATAATAATATGGATTTGGTGTCAAGCTAAAAGTATAAGAACGATTTTATGTAGCGAAATTGAGGTATGAACACATAGACAGTAGAGCACTTCCTCACGTTCTGAGGCGTATAATTGTAGTATTTAAAAAAAAGTTAGTAATGCTATTAAAATTTTATTATATTATCAAAATTTCATTTGGATGAGGTGTTGTGGGTTGCTGGTTTAAATCCCGGTATTTGTTGTGTTGTTCTTGTACAATTTTTGTATATCTTACAATCTGGTCGTTTTCAAGGCAAGAGTAAATACGATTTTGTTATGCTTAGATAGTGCAATAGATGGGAAATTTGGGGCTTCATCATCGCTTATAACCAGGTGGGAGTAGTCATGAACTGGATTATATTATTTAAAAAAAATTATATGTAAAACGTCTTCACGATACTGCAGAGAATCCTACTTTGGGAAAATCTTTTTTTAAATATTATAATATTCATTTATCACTCCATTAAAGCCTTAAATACTTGTGGTATAAGTGGTTCCCGACAACAGCAGAATGGCGGATTCAAACCTGAGACTTTCAAGTGACCTGTGATCCGGTTCGAAGGGTAACAGAGCCAGCGTGATTGTAGACTGTGAGGCATTATATCTTAGGTTACAATAGCTACTTACTAAGTGGACTTTTTAGTCATGTGGGGGTGGTTTCAGAATGTTCAACACACCATATTGTCCCGTTGGTGTCGTAACAGGCTACAGAGGGAATCTAAAACAGAAGTTGGGCAGCAGCATCTTGCTGATAACAACTCAAGGTTGCCATACCGCCTGGCAATCGTGGCAAATATGGAATTTATGGGGGATGGTTATGTTCAAAAGCGGGCGTTTTATAGACTGTAATTCATTACTGATGATTGAATGAAAGATGATATTAACATATCATTGCGTTAAATCTATGTTATAATACTATCATAATAATAAGTGAATATGTTTTTTAAACAGTTTTTATATAATTTTTTTATATTATAAATGAGCTCATTGTCCACCTGATTGTAAGTGGTTGTTGAGGTCCGTAGACAGACGTAGATGCGTTGTCACTCCTGAGGAATAGCGTTAAACTGCTGTTTGCGCTGATATTTTGTGAGAGCATGGTCTTTCCCCAGTCGAGTCGATTCATTACTTTTGCATCCATAATATAAGATGAAACGTGGCTCTAATATGTTACCACGTGCCAACAGTCCACTTCTGCTCTATTTCATTACAGCATATAAAAGTCCACTACTGAACAAATGCCTCTTCCGTAGATTGTCTCCTAAGGCCAAGATATATATATAGATAGTTGCCTCGATTAACAGGCGGTTTGGCAATCATGAGTTGTTATCAGGAAGATGCTGTATTTCAGATTCCCTCTGTCGCCTCTTACGACATCTACGGAATATAATGGGGTAGTGGATTCTCCTATTCTACAATACACATTAAAAACAGTTTTTTCTATATTTTTTATTAAAAAAAAAATATGAAGTACTTCTTGAAAAAAAAATTTGTAAAGTAACATTAGTGATATTTGCTCATAAGTAATGGATGTATGTATATTATAGTCTATCTCACCTGCTCTGTCATCTAATTCCGAAAGCTTTTGATCTCGCTCCAGTACCTTTTCGACGTTTGTTTTCATAATATCGACCACCTGTAAATGAAAGTAAAATAACACTTAGTAAAAAAAATATTTTACGATGAAGATGATATTAGCTGGTGGTCGAAATTCGACCAATCGCACAATATACAGCCATGAGTGTGATCGAAATTCTTATTTTACACCTACATCATTAAATGCATATTTTTGCACACACAATTTATTTTCTTTAGTACACATCTGTGGTACCTTACCTTTCGAATGATATGTTTCATTTCTCTCCTTTTATTATATATACTCAAACCTCAATTTTTGATTTTTACACCTTAATATAATAATTAAAGATCCTTGTGTCGCTTAGGGGCTAAGCGTTCTCCATTGATTTCAATATAGAGGCGAACAAACAGAGTTTAATTCCCGTCAGCTCATCGTGCTCTAAAAACTGATTATATCCCATAAAACGACACATAAAATTGACGTTTACCGACAAATTAAACTTATATATTAAAGACTACTTAGTAATTATAGGATTTTTCCTCTATATTCTAAAAAGAAGTTTTAATTGAAACTCATTATATCAAACTCACTATAAACCTGCGAAATTAATGTAAAATTTTGCATTAAAATAAGTTCAATATTTTCAAATTGTAGATTACTTTTAATAAACAATTGATCACTTTCTTTAAGAATAGAAAAGTAAAGTTACAACCATAGAATACTATAATACATACATAATAGAACGGGGGAGTGGGCGTAGTCCGTATAGCCACTAAAATGTCACTAACACGTCAATTCACACGTATAAACGTCTACACGATATGTGTTTTGACGTTACAATCGTTTCCAAATTTCTCATGAAAATTATTTGGAAAATGCCAAATTGCACGCTATTTAAAAATAAATATGTATTAAAATCTGTCTGTCAATACAGCGAATCGGGTTTGTAGTAGTGATTATTGCTTGTATGTGTGCTCCCGGCGACGCCTATCGTCGTATAAAATAAGGTTGACAGCCATTCTATTGTGAATTATAGTATTCTATGGTTACAACCATATAGGTTGTAACCTATATGGTTGTAACTTTACGTCCCACTGCTAAGCACAGGCCTCTTCTCACTTCTGAGAGGGTACTAGAGCAAGAGAGTGTCCGCCGCGCTGCTACAATGAGTGTTGGCAAACTTCACATGACTACGAATTTTTTTATTTGTCAGACATGCAGGTTCCCACATGATGTTTTCCTTACGTACTAGCACGTGGTAAATCAGCACTTATAATTGCAATTAACAATTTCGTTGGTGCCGGCGGGGATCGAACCCGGGTTGGTCTTGTGCCTTGAAGTTTACAGTGAGCACTAAGCCTTTTTTAAGCTACCACGACTCTTACTTGACTCTTTAAGAATAAGTTTCAAATTAATTAAAAATATCAATAAGTAGTGTAGATTTTTCTAACCTATACTTAAGTTATTTTCATCCCGATCCCAAGAAGCTTATAAGATTTATAGTAGGAAAAAGTAAGTATTAGCTAAAGAGATATTTTAGCTATATTTCTATAATGATAATATATACTAAAGTAAGTAGATATATGTAGTAAGGCTCAAATATATAGCGTAATTTCACTGGCGTTAAAGGCACGAGATTCAAATTAGCACATTCGTAATGGTAGTGAAAATTGCTTGTAGTTTACAGGTCCGGTCGATAACGAACTTATCGTCATGCTGTTTTTTTTAAAAATGTAAAGTTTATGACATTAAAGTGGAGCATACCTCATCGACCTGCGCCTGTGTCTGCTGTAGGCGACGCTGGGCGGCGATTTGCTGGGGCGTCTTCGGTCCGCCCACTGGCATGTCATCGCTACCTGGCGCCAGACCGCCTTCTGTCGTCGCCCTGCAAACAGAATTATGAATTGATTAAACGGAAAAGTACTTTTTATTAACATTATAAAATGTAACACGAGAACATACATAGCAATATAATATTTTTATTTATTTTTATTGTTGGCTATTATTTAATTGAGGTTTGAAGGTCCGGTATCGTATTTTGTTCACATATAGTTTATTACTATTTAAAAAAGTCTCTTTTATGTTACTAGCTTCGCTGTAAGTGTCACGCCTATTGGCGATAGCTATATTTATTACCGGCAAATAGGTATCAGATTTTATTATAGAACCATGGGCGTGTTGCCCGTCATAAAATAAAATGAAAAATTATATCTTTATTATATAAAAAAGCCCGTTATTGCGGTCAGACTGTAGATCAAAGGATCATAATATATTAAGAGTTTAAGTGAATGTAGATAGAGTGGCGTGGGGTGCAAACCTCTAAAGATTAAAAGAAATTGATTAAAACTACTTTTACGGATTTTATCGTGTTTTATAATTTTAAAAAAATTTTACCGTAAAAGTAGTTTTAATCAATGTACAGTGTTCGCGTAAATATAAGAAATCATTATTAAAAGAAATGTTTTCAGTTTAAGCATACAGCACAAACTAAAATAATAAAACATTTTACTATAGTAATGACTGTTTCAACGTCTATAAGATTAATAAAAATGGAGAATTCTGTACCCATAAAAGAAATTTGTTTGATTGTGTTATAATCGTCGCCGTGTCTGTTACTTTGACTCAGTATCACCAATTTTATTTCGTAAGCTTATTATAAAATCCTAAATTTTTATATGTGTTAAAGCCACGCTGCAGCTATATTATGGTTGTAGCACGAAAGGGTAGGCTCGACCGGGGAAGGACCACGCTCTCACAGAATACCAGCGTAAAATAGCAGCTTGATGCTGCTGTGTTTTGTATGATAAGTGTAGAGAACCGGAGACCCCTATCTTATCGTCTTCAGGGGTGACGACGCATCTGCATTTTGATTCTTAATCGAGGGTTAAATGTAGATGTCTATGCACAGCAATCACTCCATCAGTGGACTGAGTGCGCGTTTGTCACCCTATCGTATAAAAAAAACCTTTGTAGTTAAGTAAAGTTTGCTTTAATACTTTATAGAAATCCTAAATCCAGTTTATGAATTTTATTACTTTACCGTTACAGCTAACCAAAGTCCACAGCTAAACATGTTAAGGAGTGGACTTTGATATATACTCATAAGGAAGGATATTTGCCATAGTTGGCACGCTTGACGGTCGAAATGGCAACCGTAGTTTTTATTGGAGCGGAGCGAGCGAAATAAGCGGAGCTCCCATAGTGCAAGAAAACGATTCTTTGAAATCTATCTCCTCCGTAACCCGTAGGCCAATTTACATAATTTTTTCGGCAATATTTGTAGCTCAACAAAGAATCGTTTTCATGCGCCATGGGAGCTCCGCTCCAACAATAAAAACCTGAATTTGATTTTTTTTTCTTTTACTATCTAATCAATTCGCTAATTTACATCCGCGCAATGTCACACCATTTGATTGAATCTTTTGTAGAAATAAAGATAGTTATGACTTTAGACTTTTACTCCGCTCCGTTTATGATGCTATGCCTTTGATGTTTTACCTTTGCATCGGCATGGGCCCTAGTATTTTAGTTGTTATTAGAAAGACCCTGCAGCCAGTCTCCTGCTTTATTTTATTTTTTATTGTTTTTACTTAATTTGTTTTTATTTTTACTGGACTGAGTTTATACAATAATAGACATTACGTTTTTTTACAGTATTCACGTACCAGGTGGCGGTATTTTTTTTTTTTTTTTTTTTTTTTTTATAGAATAGGCTGACAAACGAGCACACAGTCTACCTGATGGTAAGTGGTTGCTGCGGCCCATAGACATCTACATCTATCTTCCATTACAAATCAAAATGCAGATGCGTTGTCACCCGTGAGGACTGAGATGGAATGCCTCATTTTCAGTAAAAAGGGTCTCCGGTTCTCTACACTCACCATACGAAATACAGCAGCATTAAGCTACTATTTCACGCTGGTATTCTGTGGTATATAACAGATGAGGCCAATTAACAGGATTTGTAACATTATGGTAGATGTAACTATTTGGCGTTTGTCTTCCCATGATTTTAATGTTAATTAAATCGTAAAAAATTATCTGTATCACATCTTGAGAGGTTGCTTCATATTTTATGCCTAGACCGTAAATTCTCTATTAATTTGTAAAGTTTAATCCCTCTATACTGTCAAGTGACGAAGTTGGGACTTGAGTCTATTTTGAAGTATTCTCACCCCGCTTTAAGTGGACTCGTGGATTTTTACTTTCAACCTCGTAAGCATGGTGCGCTTAAAAATCCGATAACATCACGATCCAAGGGGTAAATACTGTTTAAATACGTGTTTCGTTATGCGTTATAACCTATTAAAGTCCGCTGGTGAATATAGGACTCCCCCATAAATCGCCTCATAACAAGGATATTCGGCAAAGTTACCACGCTTGGCAAGGGGGTTGGCAATCGTAGTTTATTTTTTTATTTTTAGGCGTTATTAGAAACAAGTGGCTGCCCATCTCTAGATTTGTTTCTCTCTGTCACTTCTTACGACACCCACGGGATGATATGGTTTAGTTGATATTCTTATACCTGCCCCTACATGCAGTATAATGCCACGTGATAGCTACGTAAAAGTATCATTATCCCATTTAGTCCCGTGGGTGTAGTAATAGATGACTAAGGGAAATGTTAGGGCTTCCGATAGATGACTGAATATTATCTTGTTGATACTAGACGTAAAATCCCCCTACTGGACGTGACAACTAAGCCAGATCCTTATTATAAGTAGAGTGGCCTGTATGCAGCAGAAGAAAATTGCGCACTGATGGAGATAACGTATAAGCGATTGATGTACTAAGGTCCTACATATAGTTTCTAGAGAGATTTCCTCCGAGGTTGTCCATTAATGGTAAGGTAAAATTAATTTTTAAATAATGACGGGTCGACTAATATTGAGGTACGATAATTTTTAGATAATTATGTCCACGGCCGCTTTAATTCTCTCATTGTTTGTATATTGTGTTAAATATTATAGTGCGTAAACTATAAGTGGAGAAAGTACCGCGGAGGTAAGTGGCTGCGGTTCTACTTGGTCATCGCAAAATTATTGGTTCCATCTGTGAATGGTGAGAATCCAGATAATCTGAATATACGAGTATATAAATACACGTTGAATTTAATCTTTCTTTCTTTTTTTTCTCTTTTTATCAATGTTGGACATTACCTCAAAAATATTATATATTTTTGGACTGTTATTTAAGAGGAATTCGATTTGCGTCCTTAATTAAAATCTCTTTTGAGCACAGCATCATATCTGGTAAACTGTTTATTATAATGTTGGCAAGTTCATTACATTCAGGCAGCGCAAGGATAACATCGTTGTAATCACGTTGTAGAAAAGTTAATTAAGATTTTCGCGTCAGTTGTAGCAAATTAATGATTAGGAAATAAAAAAAATTAAAACACCGTCTATGACCGAAGAAACCATTCGGCGGAGTGACATTATTTTTCAGGTAGACTTCGAACACTATCATAACTATAGAATAGAATCGAAAGTTTTGAACCTGCGGGTTTATAGTGCATTTCAGATTACAATCTTTGTCGTCTGTTTACGCAAATAATGAGCTACTAATCTAATTCACTTCTTCGTATGTCGTATACGGGTAATGCTTTTTTTATAGAATAAGGGCGACAAACGAACAAACAGTCCAACTGATGTTAAGTGAATGACTTTACATACATCTATCTTCCAATCAGAATCAGAATGCAGATGCGTTGTCACCCCTCTGTATCAAAAAAGATGGAATGCCTTGTATCCAGTAAAAAGGTTCTCCGGTGCTCTACACTCACCATACGAAACTCGTAGCATTAAGCTGCTATTTTACGCTGGTATTCTGTGAGAGCGTGGTCCTTCCCCGGTCGGGCCGAACTGCTCGGCTGCAGCCAAATTGTATTTGCAGCATGAGTTTATGGTTTACCACGTATAAATATAAATAACATTTGAAATACCCATAAATGAAAATGAAGAATGGATGAATAGCCATAGCAACGCCATTGATTGCTGCAAATCACTCGTAAGGTCGGAAATGAGCGAAACAAATACTTTTTTTTACCGTGAACTAAGCGTTTCATCTACATTTTCAAGCTTATTCGAGAAGAAATAAAGATGTCTTTGGGTCAGAGCATCAACTTGCCAACAGGTGGACTGTGTGCTCGTTTGTCATCCTTATTCTATAAAGAAATATTTTTCTTAATGTTCGTGTAAATATTATCACCATTCTTTCATACATCAATACTGCTTGGAGAAATACAAGTCCACTGCTAAACAAAGCCCTCTTCTATCTCAAAGCACTGTTCTGAGCCATTTGAATCCACCAATCACAACACTCTATCTATGGAGAATCCGTCCAATACTCCATTTACCGGTACGACTTACGAGACTGCCACTATGTGAACCGTGCCATTGGTATGTCTGTTTTTTTTTTTAAATAGAATAAGGGTTACAAATAAGCACACAGTCCACCTGATGGTAAGTGGATGCTGTGGCCCATAGACATCCACATTTATCCTAGATTAAGAATCAAAACGCAGATACGTTGTCACCCCTGAGGACTAAGATGGATTGCCCCGTTTCCAGTAAAAAAGGATCTCCGGATTTCTACACTCACCATACGAAACACAGCGGTATTAAGCTGCTATTTTACGCTGGTATTCTGTGAGAGCGTGGTCCTTCCCCGGTCGAGCCAACCCATTCGTGCTACAACCATAATTAGCTGCAAGGTGGCTTTACCACGTGTAAAGATAGAATGCGTATATAGATCCTTTAGGTTATGTCGGTTACGGTCAAGGATTTTGACTTATATATCACGATGATATCATCGTTACGGATTCCAACACGTAGAGAAACTCCGAGTATAGCCCTCTCGATAGCTCTCTGAGCGACCTTAAGC